AGGTGGGGGTCGTATAATGAAGCATGGACCATGCGTATCATGCTATGAATGTGTAGAGATGCATCATGGATCTGTCTAACATCAACTAGTACATTGAATGCCTATTTATCATTCTCATATCATTCATTGATCCAAAAATACACTCAATATAGTATTTGCAACAATTAGACACAATATTCACACATTTTATTTGACAATTTCAAGTAACAGAGAATGGACACTGGTAGAGATTAATAGAGTATTGAATAGAACGAGAGAGAGAGAGTGCGAGAGCCAATGATAGGACACGAGTAATGGAGAAGAGGAGAGAAAAGATGAAACGAGGAGATCGCTGTCGCGAGAGTGGAGATGAAAATAAAGGAATGTCAAGAAAAAGAGATAAAGATAAATCTTGGTAATGCAAAAAGTGCTGCGAAATTTTGAACTGATGGCGATACTACTCTGTTCATCAAATTATATTATATGGGATTACTTATAATCACGTGACACATGCGTAATACTGAATGTAAATGAGCTGAGATATGTTTTCAATAATGTTGTAGAGTTTATACACTTAATAAAATTCTATTGTTTCAGAAGGGGACACACACTCCATAAACACAGAACTATTTTTATAGAATTGAAGAGTGGAGAGTGCTAGGGGACATTGATCACAACGCTAAAATCAATCTATTTCTCTCTCGCACTAAAGTGACAGGGAAAAGCATTCCACGCATGCGCATGGTGGCAATTTTATAGACAGTAAGTACAGTTTCGGTTCACTCCTAAAATCTACCTTAAATTTTTTTTTTCAATGTAATATATATTCATATTTATAATTATAGGCTGGAAATCAAATTGGCATCTTTCGAAAAATAAACTTCAATTGTGTTTTCTTTTCTGAAATATCAGTACTAATTTCCTTAAAATGAAGTATTCACACTATTACACATTTATGCACAGTCTAACAATATACACAAAAAATCGTTCGGACTGACTAACTGGCTACGTTGACATCTTATCTCCCTGACCCATGAAATGCGGCACGATGACCTTGATATGATAATTGGGCGTCGGGGTCGAAAATAAAATAAAAGCTACAATCGTCTTTGCATTATTTCAGATATATATATTCTTTAGACAGTAGTTTAGGTGCTGCGTTGCCAGGTTCAAAGGGGAGTCGTCACCTGCGCATGCGTCAGATGGCCATAGCGTGTCATTGTTTACAAACAAGCGTCTACCCATAAGCCTTTGCGTTTTAGCGTGTGTTGTTATTGTCGCTTGGGACTCAATTCCCACGCATGCGCAGGTGACGACCTTCTCGCTTTAAGTCGAACTGCCTATTTATTACCCTCATAGTTGCTGCTGACA